TGCCACTAATTTTTATTCATTTGTTTCTGCAATACTCGGATTGTAACAAGGTCTTGTGCATGCTAAGGAAGAATTCTCCCACTGAGCAATACTCTGGTTTCTATTTCTTATTTTATTTTGAGACAGGAGATCTCTAAGTGTCTAGGATGGACTAGAATTTGTAATCCTCCTGCCTTTCCCTGCTTAGTGAATGCCTGTGATTACAGGCATTTGGCACTATGCCAATCTTAATTTTTTGATGATTTACGAGCTAGTTGCTCTTTCAAGAGTGAATTTGTATGGAAGCATTGCTTTTCTGAGGAGAATCCTCCTTTAAATCACATAAAATGTCAGGATATTTCATTGCCAAGTATTATAAAACAGACCTGAATGACAGGTACTTTATTCCTAGATTATATAACTCTGTGATTTGCTGTCAGCATCTTGTACACTGAATATATAAAAAGTTAAAAATAATGTTTTCCTCAAGGTGAAAATAAAATGATATTTATATCTCCTTAGACTAAAATAAAACCAACTGCCAGTCTCATAAATAGAATATATTGTTTAAAATTCACACATGTATACAGGAACACATTTTCAAAAAAGCTTAGCTTTAATGAAGCAAATACACATCTTAGTAAATTTAAAATCGTAGAATAGAGGATTTAACTAATACTTGGACCAAACTGGAAAATCAATAGATCTCAGGAGACAGGCTGTGCTGTGAATAGCAGCTGCTGGTACCCAGGGCTGGACTGAGTTCCAGGGTCAGAAAGCTTGCAATTCTCAGATCCAGGTGTTTTTCTCAAAAAGTTGCTCCCTGGTTTAGGGACGTCTTCGGTGACTTTTTTCTCAACAAATTTGAGACTAATCATATTTCCTAGATTAATTATAATTGTTGTTGTGTTTGCTGCTTTTGTGCAGATGTAAATTTTTGAACGTCCTTTATCATCCTTCTTCTTCGATGTCTGATCAGAAAAGAACTTCTAGGCTATCAGGTCATGTCTAAGCTTTCTTCAACATGTTTATACACAGTGAATCATATTTCCCTCTTCTATTTCTCAGCATTGTTTGTGTATCTCTACTTACATTATTATTGTGCCCAAATTATTATGTATAGTTAAAGATGAATATGTCTATGAATATGTCAGTTACATAGTCATATGTAACTGTGGTATTGTTTTGAATTTTAAAATATTTTTATCCAAAAAATTTTAAAATTACTGAATCATGTAATAAAATTGCCAAAATAAAGGATCAGGTTATGTTAGTATTTTATTTTATTAGTACATGTTTGCAGTACACAATGTGTGCATCCCTTATGTGGAGTTGGTACATTTACATAACCCATCTTATTTCTTATTTTCATCCTCTTTTACTCCCCTTGCCGATCCCTTTCCGATTTGAGAAAGATCTGTCTCCCTCCTTCCTAGTATCTGCTTATTTTATTTTGTTCTTTATTTTTATCATTTAGGTTTCTCATATGAAAGAAATCATGTGATATTAAAGATCATGTGTCTGATTTATTTTACTTGATATTGTAATCTTATTCTTTAGAAATAATTCATCATTAAATGCTATTTTGAGATAGATATTTCAGGATGCGTTGTTAAAATGCATGCAATAGTAAGTACATTGAATATGATAGGCCATGGTACCTGAGCAACATGGCACAGTCCTGACCGTCTGGACGTATATAGGTGGATCATTATCAGAATTATCATGCCAGGGTTTTATATTCATACAGTGTGACTGCTTAATTTAGCAGAAAGACTACAATTCTCTTTCCCTACTGCTCAATAAACCATTATTAGTAAATTCTGAACTTCTTACGTTCACTGCATGAATGAAAATGATCAAAATATTAAGAGAAACAAAAATGAATATTCCTTAATTCCATATAAGCAATGGAAATCTTACCCCTAACAAAAGTGAAGTAGGAAATAGGTTGCTCACTTGGTTAAAACTTAACTTCACAAAATTTTTTTCATGCTTGAACTTCTATTTAATTTTGATGTCTACCTACCTTTGGACAGCATGTCTTATTTTTATCTGAAAATTTATGTTTCTTTATTTGGAAAAAAGTTAAAATATTTTTGAACTTTTCTTTCATACCTAAAAGATAGTTACCCTTATCACAGTTTATCTCCTCATACAGTATAGCTTTGGGTGCAAATCGCAGCTGTGACTGGTTTTCCTGGATTTACTGCTCTCTGGACTGTAGGACACGCCTGCGTAGCTGGCTGACACTTCTCCAGCAGTGTGTTTCTTCAATTCTCTTTATGCTTTGATTTTGTCTTAATTTCTTAGGTTGGACAATGGTATCACCTTGTAATAGAAATTCAATACTAAATCTGACAGGGACCACAGGTCTTGTGACCCAATATATGTTGGGTGTTTTTTGTTTTGGTATTTTTTTTTCCTTTATAATGCAAAGAACATTAGCAATAGGGGAAACTGTATTGCACATAGGTATTTAACACAACACAGGTATTTTCACATCTGCATGAATTGTTTAATCATATGCATATGTATTAGACAGAAGCATAAAAATATGTACTTATATCTGATTTAAGTTTCAAATTCACAGGAAAATCAAGCTATGAAAAATTTGAGATGAAAGCAACTGTGGTTAATTTTCAAGGCAAAAGTACTGCTTGAATGATGAATCTGGATCAGGAGTAAGATTATATATGTTTTTATTTCAATTCCTTACAATGGCTCACATTTTATTAAGCAGGGAATATACCACAATCTCTTAATACATCATCATACTTTATAGGTGACTTTGTCCTATTCTGCATAAATATGAATATTAACTATAAATTAGACTCTGTCTTTCTGAAATTCTTCATTTATATAATAGAAATTAGTAAGGAGGAAATTTGTTCACTCTGGGTCAGATTATGCTTCCAAGGGGACTGAGGTGGTTTTCCTGGGACCTTGGTTCACACTTGATATTAGAAAAGAGCATGCTGACCCCGATTCTTTTTATTTATTTATTTATTTATTTATTCATTCTTTTTTTTTGGTCTTTTTTGTTTTTACCAGTACCAGGGACCAAACTCACGACTGCCTGCTTACAAGGCAGGTGCTTATGCCGCTGAGCTAAATCCCCAGCCCTGCTGACCCTGATTCTGTCTCTTGCTTTCTGTCTTGTTATCGCTCCCTCTTGAACTTGCTCCTGCCATGAAAACAGCTGATACAGCTGATATGTGACCAAGGGGTTTTCAGGGTTCAAACTCTTGGCTACATCTTTTTTCACATTATCTAGTGACTTGCCAATAGGACAGACAAAATAACCTTAACTGTATCATTGTAACCAATTTCTCCATATTCTATCTGCGTTTCTTTTCACAAGTACTTGCTTTGACGCTGTGTCCTTGGAACACTGAAACTCTTCTCAGCTTCCTATTTCCTAACTCATGGATTGTCTCTTACCCAAACCCAAACATTGCATTGTATTTCAGATTTTTTATTTAACAATAAGAAGTGTTATTATGTAATTTCCATTAAGTAAAGAATAGTTGTGCAATCATGGCTCCAAAATTCTCAAGGGAAAGTACATTATAACAATTATTAATACTTTTCATGTTGATGTTAGAAAGAGTAAGGAAGAGTATGACATAGATCTTAGAGTCACTGTTAGATCCAAAACCACCCATCACTTTTCTTTTTGGCAACAATTCACAAAACTTATAATTTCTATTCTTTTAATATCGGACAATGAAACAGCCAAGTCTTCTGGTGGGCATTACAAACTTTATAATGCCTGATGTCTTTCTTCCTTTGAGTAATTTCTCATTAACAGCACTTCCACTGTGCTGGAGCCCTAGAAAGTCATGACATAGTAGTTCTCAAATGTCACCTGTGATCTTCCCAAATTACTGTCACCAGGCACAAGACCAGAGACACACATGGAGCTGCTGAAGTATTCTCACAGAACTGCTAACTCAAGTACTCTGAGCTATACCTCTGGATCAGCTTAGCACTGTAAACAAGGACCTTAAACACAACCAGAGCTTGTTGTATTGTGTGTCAAGGCATACACTTCTCCAATTTCTGCTTCCAATCCAAATTACCATCTAGTCTCAGGACAGCAACTCTCATGCAGAAAAGATGAGATTGTCAGAGATGAAATAAGAGGAGACCAGAGCACTGCGGGCACGTCACATTCTCTGGTTCTGAGATTTTCCCATGGGAATGCCAGTTATACATGGCTTTTGCTCTCGTTGTCTAGCAACATCATTAATGACATAAATTCTAAAAACATAAGTTCTGTATTCCAAAGAACAAGTTAAAAACATTTAGCATCACTATCAACAATAGTAGCATACAGTGAAGACATGCATATGTTTATTATTTAGTCCTGAAAAGTAAACTTAAAAAAGTTTCCCTTATACAAATGCTACCGACAAGGAAACCAAAGGGTAGATAAAAAGGTAACTTATTTTTTAGAAATTGAAGGGGAATTAAAAGCATTAGTGTTTGAAATTGATTTAGCAATTCATGTACCATTTATAAAAATGTTTTATAAATACATTTTAGACAAAGCTGAAAATCAATGGGGCTGTCAAGAGAAATAAGGTTATTAAACTGAGTAATCAAATATTACTTCCACTCAGTTAAATTAGATTCAAACTGAAATACTATCTATACATTGCAAATTTACCTTGAACTTTGTAGTTGTTTTAAATATATATTTCAATAGTTAGGGTATTATATCCTATGAACACTGTACTCAAGTTCCTCAAAGTTGTACACAAATAATATAATTATTACTCAAAAAATGTGTTTCATCCTAGTTTACTTTGAAAAATATGTGAAGCCCACTCTTTAATGTGATAAGACAAGCAGCTAGAGCATCAACAAATTCCTTTATATTTTTCTCTGAAGAGGGTACATGATATTATTAAATATTTCTGAATAAAATTCAGATAATATCAAGACTAGATTTTATAAAACGATACAGTTAAAGAAATATAATATTAGATCTTTCAAGCATTACTTGATCTTACCTGCTGGTTAACAGGAAAATTTCTGTTGATTTTTTTTATCTGAAATGATAAATAAATGAAAAAGTGAGAATAACAAGAATCAGATAGTACAATAACCATATATATATATAAAATTTAATTTGAGACAGGGTCTTTCTATGTAGCTCAGGCTGGCCTCAAAATCACAGCAACATTCCTGCCTCAGCCTAACAGCCAGGATTACAGAAGTGTGACACCACACCCAGCTGAGAACCCAAATTTTTATAAGGCTTTCTTTTTGGCACGTTAATATACAATAATATTCTGTTGACACTCTAATTTCAGCATTTATAACACCCATTACTTAATTGGCCTTTATAATTACCCTAAATATCATACTTACACATTTTCAAAAAGATTTTTATTTGATATAATTTTTATTTGTGAGAAACCAGCCTGTTCCTTACAATGCTAAACGCTAAACAAGAATTTACAGCTTAATTTTCTGTAATTTTGGTTTTCAACTTGGAAATTATATGACATATAGTTTCAACACTCAAGAGAGCATAGGAAATGGAATAGTTAAACATTGAAAGATAAAGCATAGATTTTGAAATACTTTCAGTTACAATCACAAACATAGCATTACGTTTACTTAAAGCAATATAATGACTGACAATTTATAAAAATTTGAAGCAAATCTTTAGAGAAACATTTTCTCTGTAGGTATGTCATGAAACAAACTTCAAAAAGAAATGAATATTATGGTTAGATAAATGAACTTACAAGACAGAAAGTCTTTCTTCAACATGATTTTGCTAATTAAAGCCAGTTATTATTTTCCATTGGTTAATAAATGAAATTAATACCAATTCAAAATATTAAGACATATCAGAATACTTTCACTTACGCAATGTTTTATGGATTTAGTTATTTTTTCTTTTTTATCCCCCTTTCTTCCTTATACATGTGACATAACAGGCAGTCTCATGGATACAGGGCACAAATTTGTAAAATAATCAAATGGTCATCTGTAAATACTGACTTGTTTTCAAGATAGTTGCCATTTAATTAAAACTAACAGAAAATTTAAAAACATACATGTACAGAAACCATGTTAAAATTATTATAATTTTTTTCACTGTAGTAGGAATCTGGTAAAGATTCCTAAAACTTATGGTACCCTAAACTAAAACAAAGAGATATGAAGTGCTGATTCCTAACCTCATTTATAAATTGATCAAATCTATATTAATTATGGAACTGTATCTTTTACTAACTTATAGATTGTTGTGATTATTAAATTTAATATTTTATATGGGCCTTTGTTTTAATAGTATACTGCCCAGTTTTGTAAAATTTTATTATCTTGGTCTTAATAACATTTTGAATAATGCTTTGTAAAATCTTGAAATTCAGCAGTGCAGACAGGCCTTGGAATGACAGAAACACTGACACAGTGAACACCTGCTGCTAATGGCACCACCCTAATCAGAGTCTGTGGTCTACTGGATTCACCCAGTGGATGTTTCTTAGACCATCTGCTATATTTACCTATAAAGAGCTGTTACATTGTATGTGTTCTTTATTGCGCGTTTGTTTTACAGGTTTTTAGTACTTCATTCAGAGTAGCGTGATCAAATAGTAATATCTGAATCCTACCATCTTCATCCTCATTTACTGCAAAGGTATTAAATAACACTAATACTAGTGAAAGAAAAAAAAACATATTGCATATTTCCTACCACTCCTTAATTATTACAACAATATAGAAGCAAACATATGGGAAGCTAAAGAAAGTGTATATTAATAACAGCAAAGTGAATAAACAGTGAGTTATCCCAACAACTCGAATACCAACAACCTTCAAAAACTAGTAATTTGTGTGTTAGAAAAGGAATGTTTGGAAGCCCATGAAATTCTCTTTAGGAATTATTTTTAGGTTTTTGTAACATATGACAAATATAGTAATAAAAAAGGTGCACTTCATTAGTGATAGTAAAGTGCTGAAGAAGTGACGTGCATTACAGGTAAGTTGTACTTATCCAATTCAAGTGATGTCACCACAGCTTTCAATTTCATACACTGCTTCTTTTTTTTATTATTTTATTTTTATTTAGTTTTATTATTTCCTGAGACTGAAGTTCCTCATTGCCCATCCTAGCTGATCTTCATGTGTCTGGACCGAGTGCAGACTTTCTAATCCTCTGGCCTGAGCCAATCAGAGCGATGGAATTCAAAGCATGTATCACCATGTTCAAGTTGGGTTTTCATTTTGCTGTTTTTCATGTTTTAAATTGAACTGGAGTAAAGTGTTCTCCTCATCATGCTTATTCATGTAAACACAGGCAACCAGACTACTGCAACAATGGAATATGGCAGTGAAGATGTGGTTCATGATATCCACAGTATAAAGAACTGTTTGCCCTGATGCATTTTGGCAGCAAGGAAAGGAAACATAGTTCATGAAGCTTTCACTTGTTAGGATTTTAAATTCAAACACATTCAAATTCACTTAAACATAATTCTAACATTTTCTATAGCAAATGGAGTAGAGCAGTATAGATTATTCCATTTTCTAGTGACTACAATAATATTTTAAAATAAAAAAATTAAGAAAAAAATTGAAATCTCTCATTGCAACAATTCTCAGCATTCTAACATGTTAACCTACACATATTGCTTAAAACTTGCATCTCTGCTTGCCAGCCACCATCTTTGGAATGCTTGCTTCATGTGGGCAGCCAGCCAGGCAGGGAGACCTAGCCAGATTTACTTGTGTCTGCTGGCCACCACCACCACAAGGCTTGCTTCCTGTGTCAAACAGCACAGGCAGGGAGACACAGTTAGATAACCCCTGTGTACCCATGTACCATCTTTGGAGACCCTTGCTTCATTCAGGCAGCCAGCACCCACAGACAAACACATCCTGTGTCCCTGCCGCTATGAAAGGAATCCTGGTGTTAGACACACAGGCTGAGAGAAGAATCAGCCTCATCACCATGCACCCCTGGCCACTGGAAGTCCCAGTGGTACTGTATGGAAAGTCCCAGTGTAGCTGTAAGGGTCTGGAGAAGGCTGCCGCATGCCCTGCTACCTTCCTGGGCACCTGTGGTCAAAACCAGGTGCCTGACCCATTCACCTGTAGTATGGAGGGAAAGCCAACATGTGAAATGCCTGGGACCTCACAAATGGCTTGTTAGGAGGAATCCAAGAGAATGTCAAGATGAAGGAGTAAAAGGCAATCTCAGACTCCAGCCCACATGGAGTAAGTCTGGGAGATACAGTCATGGAAGATAATAGAAGTCACATACCTCGAATCTCTGACAGGATAGCAACTGAAGTAAAGAAACAACTTCGTGGGATGGTAAAAGCAATTAAATAAAAAATAATGTCAAGTATAATGAAAGGATTGCTGAGCGTATTTAAAGAAGAATAGGTTTTAAAAAGTGAAGCATAGGAAATGATGGAAACCTTGAATAAATAATATAGAAAGGAACTGTAATGTATGTAACATTCAAAGAGATATCTAGGAAATTAAAAAGTCAATCCAAAGCTGGCAAAACCACTTACAAGAGACTGAAGATAGATTTTCGGACATTGAAAACAGGATTTTAGCTAGTAATCATGTAAGAAAAGATCTCTTAAAAATAACAAGGAACCAGGAATTAACAATTCAATGACTGCAAGACTATGCAAAGAAAATAGTTTAAGAGTGATAGGTATCAACAAAGTAGCCAGGGTCAACACAAATGCAATAAAAAGTCTATTTATAGAAGTAGCAATAGAAAACTCAAATTTGGGGTAAGAATCTAGCAAATGGATAAGTGAGGCATACAGAGCTCCAACTAGCCATAACCAAAGTAAATCTACACCCAAACATATTATAAATTCACCACAGTAACGGAATATTAAAAGCTGTTAGAGAAAAGAAACATGTCTACAAAGGAAAACCAACCAGAATCATGGCAGACTTGGCTCCACAAATTATCAAGTCAAGAAGAGTTTGGAGTGAAGTGTTTTAAATCCTGATAGAAAACAACTTCCAGCCCAGCTTGATATACCCTGCAAAACTATCTTTCAAAATTGATGGAAAAATAAGATCCTTTCATGATAAAGAACAACTGAAGGAATTCATTACTACCAAATCAACCCTACAGAGAGTGCTAAAGGAAATTCTAGAGAAAAAGATGAAGATGACCATGCTTCAAGGAACAGCAGCAGAGGAGGATCACCAAGCAGCACAGGCAATTGAATGAAGAGGAAAAGTGGAGGGCCAGCAGCAGGAGGATAGCATGAGGATAGCAGAGGTGAACCCATGCATGCCAGTTGTAACCATTAATGTAGATGGCCTCAATTCACCAATAAAAAGAAACACAGAGAGAGAGAGTGGATTAAGAATCCATTAGTATGCTGTATACAAGAAACATATTTAAGTGGAAAGGAAATTCATAGACTGGAAATTAAAGGAAAGAAAAAAAAAATGTTCCATGTGACAGAAGACCAGTGAAAAGCAAGAGTAACTTGCCCATCAACCACCAATGGATAAGAAAAATATGGTATTTTCAAGCAGTGGAAAGATACCCAGCTGTAAAGTGGGATAATTTCACTGCTCTTGTTGGTAAATGGATGTACCTGGAAATCGTGCTCATGGGCCAATTGGTTTTAAATCATATGGGTGAGTTATCTCCCTAGCATAAAAAACTGAAGGAGTTAGTTGCATCCAAAAAGCACAATAAATATTACAAACATGATAAGGAGTGAAACACCTAAGAGGGGAAGGTGGTAACTACTGTTAATTTTCTATTGTCTTGTCTTGAACTCTAGTATCATTTTCATAATTTTGTTAGATTTAGTTTTATTCTGTCTCATTTTGTTAGATTTTATTGTGCCTGGATGTTTGGGGCAGCTACTGTGAAGATAATGGGATGTAATATGGTACCCATTGTTGGTTTCTTATTATCTTCTTTTGAAGTCCTATAATGCTTTCATTCTTTTCTTTAGATTGGTTTTATTCTGTTTTGTTTGATTTTTATATGTGTGATAGTATAGACAGCTATTTTGAAGAAAATGAGACACTA